CATTAGCCGCTATAGGTAAATAACGAGGAGAATAACAACGTGCAGTAAACGGTATAACTGTTGCACTACAAACCAGTGTGTTCATAATTAAGATAATACATTAAAATTATATGATAAGACACACCGACTTTCAATATCAAGCAGCAAAACGAACTGTTTTGTTCAGCTAAAAATACCTAAACAGAGTGGACGCAGATGTGACCGGAAGCCAGACCCAGAATTTACAAATGGCCACGCCCATTTTTACGACAAGAAAAAGGTGGATTGAATAGATGCGTCTAAACGAGCATTGCCACTTCCTGCTTCACTTGCATCACGACGATGCCTTTGAGTAAACATAGGGATAATCGTTCTATTAGGCATTTGCGTTACAAGCGCCATTCGTAATTTAAAAGAAGGGCCGATGATAGGGTCAGATTCTAGACAGTACAAAATCAAATCTTTACTGAATGAGGATCCTACAGTTGATTTTACAGACGTGCCTTCGAGCAGAGCTGCACCTGTGCAGGTGCTTTGCACTGAGCAAAGCATGATTTTGCTCATCAGCGCGGACCTTCACTCAAACGGACGTCTTGTCACTTCTGAAGAGTTGAGCCTCGGTTGGTCAACCGAGAGCTGCAAAGCCTATCAGTACTCTGATACTGAATACGTGATTAAAGCAGATTTGCACCAGTGTGGCTCGGAGTTATTGGTATGTAAGATTGTTTTGTTTGATTTTGCTCCAATTGTTAAAATAATAATAATAAAATAATAAAAAACATTCATTAAATATTAGCTATGTATATCAGCTCAAGTAGCCTATCATGTCAAGAAAATGACAACATTCAGAACTGGGAAAACCATTTGTACCAAGTTTATCTATTTTCCTTATTTAATTATTAGATTGAAGGAGATCATCTGGTTTATTCAAACCAGTTGATCTACACCCCAATGCAGAACAGCTTCGGTATTGTAAGGACAAGCAGTATTTCTATTCCTATTGAATGTCATCACAAGAGGTTTGGACTTTAGCTATATGTTTATCATCATTTATGCATTTTCCTGTTTATTTACTGTGTATTTGCTGCAACCTACATCTCAGGATTCACTTTGTAAGCAGTACTGATGTGAAGCCTTCCTGGGAGCCATTTACATCTACTAAATCAGCAGTGGAATTGATCAGTTTTTCCTTTCGTCTTATGAATGGTATGTTCAAGATTAGATAAAAAGCATTTTTTTTTCCTGATCTTTTTATTTTTATTTTTTTTTAGATGATTGGAGGACTAAAAGGTCATCCTATGTGTACCACCTTGGGGAAGTGATGAATATCCAGGCTTCCTTCTTAATGGCTGGGCATTCTCCTTTGAGAATAGTAATGGAAAATTGTGTGGTCACTCTGGAGCCTAATGCTGCATCAGTGCCCCGCTACATGTTCAGTCAGAACCACGGGTCAGTCAGGATACGGGACTGTATTTTCCAGAGCTATGAAAACAAGAAAATTATATCATAAACAAATGTACAAATATCCTTGGCCTAGAAACCATCCTTTTAATTAAAATCTTGAATGAGCAGTTCATTTATTATATGTTAGGAGTTGTTGCATCTCTTGATTTGAAATGAATTGCACGTTTTGCAATATATCTCTCTTGAGGTGGCGTAAAACAACATGTCACACTTATGATTAACTATTGTACTTTAATGTTAACAAATGGAATTTCTATCCCTTTTGCTGTAGATGTCTTATTGACTCTAAAGTGCCAGACTCCAGCGCCCGTTTCATGCCCAGAAAACAAAATCATGTGCTTCAGATGCAGATGGATGCTTTCCGTTTCCATGAAGACCAACGGAACACTGTGAGTCCTTTTATAAACTAAAACATTTCACTCTTTTTGTGTTGTAGAACAATGTATTGTAAATACTAAGTATTTTTCCTGTAACTTTTGTTGTAGCACTCCCCATTTGGAAGCTGTTTTTTTTATTTAAAAAATGGTGCTAAATGAGCACATGTAAATTAATAAAAATGTTACTTTATAGATCTATATTACATGCCAGTTGAAAATTGTTGATCTGGAGGTGAATATCGTGAACAAGGCCTGTACCTATTCTGTAAACAGGTATGAGTGAAGTTTTTGTTGTTGTGGTTTAAAAAAAAAGTGTCCCTTAGGGTACTTGAAAACAAATATTAAAAAGATAACTTGTTTGAAATTGAGTATTTGCATTGGATTACATCTTTAATATTGATGTCTTCTGATTCATTAAGTCAACTTGTTGCTTTCTGAAGGTGGCTTAGTGTGGATGGTTGGGATGAGGTTTGTGAATGCTGTGAGAATACTTGTGATGCCATAAACAAACTGGCAAATGGAGTAGACTACCAAAGTGGTCAGTCAGTAGAGGTAAGCTTTTACCTAGGCCACATCATGCCAAGAAATGGCAATACCCAGTCATGTACATTTGTTTCTTCAGTTTTCTGCTAAGACCATCACAACTTTCAAAAAGCAGAGGAAGACTCTTTCACCTACACTTTGCTAATCCACAACCATAAACCATGGAACTTACTACAACTTACTCCTAAAAAACTCTCTTCTTTTCTACATTTAACCTCTGCTCCTTGCTATCTTCCACTGTAAACTGTGAATATTGTTGGCTTTATGGCAAACTGGTTGTGATGTTCCTTATTTTTAAGTTGCTTTGGGATAGATGGATCTGCTAAATGAATAAATGTGAAGTAATTCTCTTTTTGTTTTTCAGATACAACAGAATCCAACACTGTGATGCTTGGTCCCATAACAGTTCTTGGCTAAATTCTTGTGCAATTCATGAAAAATAAAAACTATTGTTTGTCAATCTATTTGCATTGTTTTAAAAAGATTTAACCACTTAATTTGGAGATGTGTTCTGCACAAATGTCTACCACTGTCTCAATTAGGCCTCTGGTCCAGTTATAATTTGGGCTGGTTTGGATGTTAAAAAAAAAAAAAAAAAGAGCTGTTTTTTTTTTATTGCTGCCACAGAAACCAAATTGAACCGCAAATATTAGTTCTATACAGGTTTCCCATACATTTACGTGTTCCATTGTTCTGCAAAACACGACGAGGCGTTCCCCATAGCGACCCCTAGAGGACGCAGTGTCCTACTCAGGGAACCATGGTTACACAAGTAACCTGAGACGTTCTGCCCCATACTCACACCATTGGCAGGATGGGATCTTCAAGTTTTCTGATTGGTTGAGCCACCAAACTAATTTACTCATTAGTTTTTATTTTTGATTTAATATTATATTTTTGTGGCTTTGATACATATTTCAGTGATTTTTTTTATATGTGGTGTTACAACAGCTTTATCTGTTTCATAACTGTCCACAAACTTTTTGGGTGCAGTATATGTGATTTGTTCAAAATTGTGGATGTTGGGGCGTTTATAATTGGGCATTGGACTGATGATGGGGGAGGGTGAAGGGATTTCACCCTCCAGTTAACGTCATAACGCCGTTTTGGCTTTCTCTCCTCCCTCAACCGCACAGTATGAGCGTTCTCTGAAAACGTTTGGGAACACCGTGAATGTATGCGTACCTGGGGGATTTAACAGTCACAAAAGAAGGACAACAACAGGAATATGTTTTATGCTGCAGTTTAGTGTTGGGTCGTACTTAGGTTCTGTACTGGAAGTAGTCAAGTAGTTCACCTGTTTCGAGTCATTCGTTCATCATGTGACAGCCCCATACGTTTAACCAATGCAGTCTGAGCCGGAAAGAGAATTGATTAGTTATTTAAAAATTTGTTTTTTAATTGAAGATATAACATTCACAGGGGATACATACAGTCATAGCAATAAAATACATAAACAATAAATACATAAAGAATAATACAAATGAAATATAAACAGAACAAAAACAAATAAATAAAAAGTTAAACATCTTTTTAATTTTTTTTAATAAATCATAAATAAATTAAAATAAATTACTTAAATGGAAAATTACACATAAAATGTCAACTTCAAAGAATACACAGGAGGTAACCCTTACATCAAAGTCAATATTTTTTCCATCAATACAGTAGTTTTAGCTGCTTTCTTATTAAGCCATGTGAGAATTGATTAGTTCATCTCTCGGGTCTTCGGGTTTGAGTCGTTCGTTCATCACGTGACAGCCCCATAAGTTTAACCAATGCAGTGTGAGCCGGAAAGAGAATTGATTAGTTCATCTCTTGAAGACTTGTCAGATAAGAGGTGAGGTGAGCTATTCATAGACTGAAGACCCAGGTAAACAATGGATTAATCTTTTCTGTTTCTTATAGCAGTTTTGTATTGTTTGTAGTTATTTTGCTGAAATGAACGAAATGACTCGAAAAAAGATTCGTTCATTTTGCTGAACGAGACTCAAAGGTTCGAGTCGGTAAAATGATCCGAACTTCCCATCACCGAGGATGTCAAAAAATGATCGCTATAGGAAACGGAAAGATCGGTTGGGTTTTGAAATATAGTTTGTCTTAACGGTTGCCCAGCTAATCCGCCTGGAAAGTTAGTGTTGTTCGAGTGAAGGAGAGAAAAAACTGCCGAGGAAATGGCGGAAACCAAAATAATCTATCATATCGACGAGGAGGAGACTCTGGTGAAGTTCCCTATCTCTTCGGAGGAAATCACGCTGTTAGATTTTAAACAAGTCCTCAACAAACCCAACTATAAGTTCTTCTTGAAGTCTATGGATCACGACTTCGGGTGAGTTGAGACTGAACGCGCATCCTCTTTTCGAGAGGCGTTTGACTGTGGCTGTATCATGGTTCAGTGATTGCATTAGATGGTAGTTCCAAGGGTTTTGGAATTCACTTAAGTAGTAGATGATTATCATTAAACATGGTTAAAAAAATCAGTAAAATTTTTGTACCGAATCAGTTCTATGTTTATTATGATATTTTCATGGTCTCAAAGGTACAAGAATAGAATGTAGAAGAATGGGAAATACACAAAAATTGGTCAATGCTATGATATCATGTCAAATAAACTAGTGTTGCAATGGTTTCATGTGCAAATAACATGCATGAAATTATACTTACAAAGATTACCATGGTTTTTTGACAGCCATGATGCATGAATTTCAGTGCAATGGTATATGCCAAAGCACCATGATAGTACTATTTCTTACCATTATTGCACTACGCTATAGCCACAGCACTGTTTTGTAAGGGTACCTTGAATTTTGTGATCTTTCTTAATGCATTTTAATAGACTGAATCGTGCAGTGAAAGAACACTCTAAATGCGTACGTGCACTGACATGACTTCATCACATAATGTATGCGTGCACTCCATAGGTGTTTAGTTTGGTGTTTGCAAAATACTCGATAATGTCAAATTGCACATCGTTAAAACAACAATTACGATATTATCGCAGACGATATATAT